GTCGGTGTGGGTGTGGGGTGTGGATGTGAATGTTCGATGGGTGGGTGTGAGTGTTGAGTGTCAATATTGTTATGAACAACATCCACCCCCACACCCCACACTCACACCCACACATCCTCACCCACACTCACACCCACATCCATGCCCTAGTTCATTTTTAACAAACTTTAAAAATAGTCATCCATTTAAATTAAAAGGGAGAAAAGAAAGGAAGAAAATCAACAATAGTCAATAGCAATCAAAATCTGTTAGATAGTAATATTTGATGTTGTTACATTGTAATACATTGATGGACACTTTGCGAAATAGGTACAATATTTCTACCTAGTTAATCGTATGAAAATTTTGACATCATTTCACGTGTCAGCTCTTTGCATTTTCTTTTTTGTTAAAAAATCGTTACTCGATTGTTCCATAATTTTTGTGTATGAAATTGATTCGACTTTTTTCGACACCTCAAGTAATGACATTCATCTTGACTCATCTTACTGGGATTTCCCTACATTCTAGTTGTCAGCCTCTAAGAAAATTTCTCCCCAAACTCTTATATTTCTTTTCTCTGGGAAATTTCCCGTTGTCTTATTGTGACCGATTAGGGAATGAGTCACTCATGTATCATATATAAGAAAGGGTTAGAAAACCAGAGAACTGTAGTATTATTCTTTCGTTCTGCGACGTTTTGTTTCTTTCTCTAGTACACATAACATTTATCAGTTGTGTCTCAGCTGTTTTTCCTCTTTGGCACCAACGACTGAGAGAAGATTCAGAATAGGAAAAGAGAAAAGGCGAGTGTAGCAGCGAACTTTTAACCGTAGTCGGCAACTCAAAATCGACTCTTTGGTCAAAAAAATCCTAGAAAAAGTAACTTTGAGTGGATGTTAGCATAACGGAGCTTGTCGACGATGTGTAGACACTAATATATAACTAGTGTTGAGTTTAGACAATCTTGTTAGTTGTGTTTCTATTACTTCGTCGCTTTTTCTTTTCCTTCGACCATGCTATCCATCTGGTGTGTGGTTTTTTCCACGAGACGTAAAAAAATGGTTTCATATATTCTTCTACTATTTTTCACTTCTACATTATGTAGTATCGTCTTATAGAAGTTGTATGCATTGTAGACATAGCTGACTAATCGATCTCAGTAAAAATGTATATTAATTGATATTATATTACTATTTTATAGACAGTGATTTTTCTTTATCAAATGAGTGGAGATTTTGATTTTCGGGCATTGCTGCTCAAAATACAGGATCTACTATCCGACAACGATCGACATCGTTTTCTTTTTCTTCTTGGTGAAGATGTTCCCAGATATTTGCGCGATGATTCTTCACTTAGTGGAACACTTCGTGTGCTGGAATCTCTTTTCGAAAAGGCAATAATCAGCGATCAAGATTGTGATTATCTTATTAAAGCATTCACGAAAATACATTGTAATGATGCTGCAAAACGGCTTCAAGGTTTGTTTCTTCTGTTTCTTATCAAGACTTACATTTAACGAGCTCTTTATGTTATCACTTTTTCAGAATATCAGCTAGCATTGAAACATTTTAGTCAAAGAAGTTGCTCACTTCAAGATATTCTTTTATTCGACAACGACGATGAGGATAAGATGACTTCGTCTAGTTTGTATCAATAGGCTATACTTTGTTTATGATCAAAAATTCTCTTTCAGGATTGATGCATATCCCATCTGATCCAAATTTGACTGTCGATTGTTCGACCTCCTGTACAGATCTAAATCTCGATAAAAAACTGCCAAGTTCATCACTACCTGTGCATAGCGAAATGAAAGAGCACATTCATGAATCTCGATGGACTCATCAAATATACAAACGACAATTGAACACTCGTGAATGGATTCTAATTATCAGCAGTATTCTGATTCTCTTGAGTTTTCCATTAGCGCTTTATCTCTCGGCAAGTAAGTAGTATAAGAGGAAATCTGTTTCAGATGAGTCTCTAGATTTATATGCATTGAGATTGGATAACTTTCTTGATGTAAATTGATAGCTGATTTGTCTTTAGTTGGGAAAATCTCCATTGTGATTATGATGAGAAACCATTCATAGCACTACAAAAAAATCATTATTTTTGAGCTATTTCGGTGAACACCCATTTATTCAAGGACGTCATGTAAATTTTTAATCCGATTGAACTTGAACACAGTCAATCACGAAAGAGAATAATCCAACCTCATTCTACTCTAAACACCTCTAACATTATAAATTATGTCGTATTATAGTAACTTTCTGAAACTAATAGAGTTGAATATCGATGCCACTCAAGTCTTATGCCACATGTCTAGTGTTGAAAGTGTAAGTTCCAAAAGAGATAAGTCTCAATGAATGAAATCTGTAAAAT